ATACGCGATGAGTTTAATCACGTAGCGTTTCGAACGCGCGAATCAGCAGGGAACAAGCGAAAAGTACGAGCACGACCCTCCTGGGAATCGAATCGCCGAGGGGTACACCAGCTGCAAATGTACAAAAAAAAAGATCAGTGTGTAACGCGAGCAACGACCGGGAATATCTATCTAGTAACTGTCATCAACGGGTTCCGTTTTTAATCCAATAATACAGAAATCTAATAAAATCTACTAAAATGTGACTTGAAGAATCTAAAAGATTTATTGTATTATTAGGAATTCGGCATTTGCAAGTTAGAAAAGAATTTATATTTTTCACTGATTTCCCGGCAAATTTCAAGGCAAAGTGAAAGCTATTACATTGTGATACTAATGTAAGATAAAAAATAAAACTAAAATAAAGTTAGAATTTAACAAAACTAAAATTTCAAACTTTGATATATTTACTTTCAAATTACAGCACATACATAGGCATGATATTAATTATGCATATATCACATGTTAATCTAAAATTTTTAATTTCTCATAAATTTTAAATATTATTAGTATTGCATTGTGTAGATACAATTGTACTCACATACGTCAGTGTTAAAAATTCTAAATTTGATTACGTGAAAATTACACACATTATTATTAGCTCAATTAAATTAGATAATGTAGAATTTAGTGAAATAAAGGGAGAGCAGAATCTGATCTTTTGGACTTTGAGCATTCTAATGTTCGCTCGAGACGAGTCCCGTCGCATATTGTTCGGGATTATAAGACAGCACTGTCTGGCGAGACACCCGTTAAGGGATACGGTCGTATCCCTGTACAGCGGGATGTGCAGCGCGCAAAGATTTACGAGCAATAAAGTAGCAATAACGAGAGCTACATTGGAGTCGCGAGCGCGAGAATGACCGAGGATATCGCATTGTAACCGCGACATCCTGCCCCGCGAATCCTGCCCTCCCCCCTCCCCCCCGCGGATCCCGCACGCTCCTCGGGGACAATGTGCTTTATGTTCCGCGAGACGCGGAAAGAAACGCGCAGGTGTTTACGCGCGAGTTTATGTCCATTTTACATGGCGAACAATGGAATCAAACAGAATCGTGAAATCGTATTTCCCCTCGTATTTCTCCTTCGATTAAAGTCGGCCGATTCTTGATAGATGACGCAAACCGTAAGTCAATAATGTTCAGTAATAATCAAGTGAAATCGCAAAATCATAAAATTCTAATTAACGAAGGCTCATTTTGAGCTCATCTGATGAATGAATGATTATAGTTATATATTGTAAAGAAATAAAAAAAGAAAAATTATATACTTTCTTAAATTGCAATATGTACAACATAAAATGCATGTCACCTACTTTCACCGGCTCACAATTTTTGGACGTTCGCCATTGAACGTTTAATTTGACTTTTGGAGAATGTATCGAGAAGCGCCGACGGGCATTGAATCAAGGAATTCCGGGGCGCAGCCAGCCAACTTCGCTCGCAACAACTTGTATAGGAGTTTATGGCGAGTCGTAAAATGATCCTGAGACAGCGAGTTTCTTTCGCATTCTCAATAAAGGTGACTGCGGCTAATACAATGGCTTTTGACCAGAAACCATCATGGTGGGTGTAGCGACGTCCTGTACATCGGTTTTACAGCCGGATTGTGAAGTGTTGTCTCTTCAGAAAATATTCTTGGATCCGTATTATATATATAAACATATCCAGCAAACACAAGTGAGAGTATTTTGAGCTCATCACAAGTAGGTTAACACGAGTGAGTCAAACGTCATAATTTTAAACATAAGTAAATACTTCAATTTAAAGGAGCTTCTTGATTTAATTCAACCTCTTGATTTATTTAACTTCAAACAAACAACTAAATTTAGAAATTAATTAATAATTTAGAAATTAATTGTTTTATATGCAAAAAAAGAGAAATTTTAAATAATCTTACTATGTAATGACATTAATTTTTGCTGCAATGCAATAAGAGAGCTTTGTCAAAATAAAAATAATTTAATATCAGTCAATCCATTTCTATTATTCACTTCTATTAATAAAGTCTATTTCTTTGAAATATTGGTTAGCGATCTATTAACATATTCACAAAAACATGGACTATAAAATTAATATGAAAATAATAATTGAACATACCATATAATATAAAAAATAAAAAATGTGTTAGAGAGTAATTTTTATTATTATTTCTTATTGCGAGATAATAAATCAATTGTCTTGTTATTAGCTATAAATAGTTTTTTGTTTATGATTTATTAGCTTAAAAAGTTTCCTTGATTAATAAATACAAAATTAAGTAGCTACCTAGATAAAACATTTTTATATGTACCAAAGTCTGAGGAAAGAAAATTTATATCGTGCCAACTTTTCCCGGATGCTCTCCGAATAATTTTCTCGCGCCGGCTTCACCGACTTTATCTTACGAGAATGGAGTATACGGTGCATTCGCTGGTTAAAGGTCGCGGACCTCTAATCTTGAGAGGGTCGAAACGCAAGGTGGCGAGCACTTGGGCGAGGTCGTCCTATATTTAAGGGACCTCCCATAAAGGACAAAAGTTGCGCCGTATCGCAGTTGCGAGCAGGCCGCCGCGCCGGAACGGTTTAACGTCTCGGTCGTCCGGAGCCGGTAATGGCCCCGGTCGGAATAGTTTCAGAAAAATGGCCACGGCGGCTGAACTTAGAGTTAAATAAACGCCGGTGTGTCCGTGCGCCGGCACGGCCTGGATAAAACGATTTACTGGCGCCCCCGCGAGCGGATAACGCTCGCCATTTGTACGTAATTCCAGCGGGCGCTCTCGTGTTATCCGCTCCGCGAAATTGTTATGGCGAAACGAGTTTCCGCCCTGCCATGTCGCAGGTATCCGGGTTACCTGACCGTGGCAGACGCCCCGAGTCACTGCTCGATGAATTATGGCTCCTCCGGAAATCCGGGTTTAAGGCTTTACGACATTTCGTTTTAATGTGAACATTAAGTCAGACAGTTGCTCGATATATGATTTAAAGAAAACGCGTTATTGTTTTCGTAAGATCTCATTTTGTTTCTTGTCTAGATTTTGTCTTTTTAAAGTTACGACGTTATGGCAAGCGTTAGGTGACATTGCATAACTTTAATATAAAGATATATTTATATGGTGTACAATATTGTGTAGTGTATATATGTGTACGATAATTCATCGATATAAATTCATCGACAACACTATCGTGCATAATTTATTTTTAAACACAAATTTGTCGTATCGATATTAACTCCTCACAGCATTTCAAGTGTTGTGATCGCAATGGTATTTTCTGGTCTCGCCAGCGCGACAATTATTCCATGCGAACGTCGCCGCTGCAAACATGCTCGAATTCAAGGGACGCGTTACATCTTAATTACGTTCACGTCGTCGGATACGAATCCAGGAATTCGAGCCCGTGTCGGCGCGCGGGGAAAACTCGTAGGTGGAAGCCGGGGAAGAATGTCCACGGATTAAGTGGAACGAACGTGACTTAAATCCATTGTAACCCCTTGGAACGTCGGTATCGTTTGTAACCGTCACGGTTGTATCTACAACGTGAGAGAGAACGAAGGAACGGAGAGAGAG